CACTGTATCACACACTCCCAATTACACAATCACACACACGTCCGGTTCTTCTTCCCGCGACGGCTGCTATACTCCAACTGTAGTCGGCTGACTGGAGAACTCTTGATAAGACACTCTCGTAGGCTTGCTCGGAACTATCTTCGGCGATGGCCACGTTATAACTCGGCGGCTGCCCACATTCCAACTCACTGGTAGCTGCTGTGCGGTTCCCTTATATATCTGCAGTGGTGCCTGTTGCGGGCCAAGTCACAGTGGGAAGCTGTTCCGCGTCACCGCGCGTGGCGCGTTGCATAGCTACCAGGATGCGGGGGCTCGGCTATCTTCAGCTCCGCTCGTGACGTCACCGCGGGGAGAGTGGCGGGGTGATGATTCGCCTATTACGCGAGGGCTACTTTACCGCTACGTTCCACTGGGGAGGTAGGGGTCAACATGTCACAATATCTATGTGAATATATCCAGAATCAGTTTTCTGCTTTCAGCATTATTCTTTCTGATTGATCAGACTCAGAGACAGGGGTTCGTGTCTGAATATTGTGTTGATACAAAATGAACACTAGTTATAATGTAACAGCTCCACAAATATGGAACTCTGTGTGAGTGTGGCAGTAGCAGTAATGAACATCTAACATTTTGTATTTGATTACCCCAGAAATAATTTTATTTAATTTTTCATTTATTTTTTATTTTGATTATATAAAACAACATCCTATTTTTGAACCAAATAAAAAAATGTAATGTCTCTTGTCTTATAGTGACTAGATATGGTATTTGGGCACTATCAAAACTATCATCTTTATTCTCAGCATTTTCTGAAATGGCACAGAAATGAATTCTAAAGTCTCGCCATTCTTGTGTATACATGTGGGAGCTAATGTTAACTCCTTCAATGGCAACCTGAGTACATGATTACACTAATGTGCCTACACACTGCTGGCCTGGTTAAGTGTAAGGCCATGTGTCCTTACAGATATTATTACTATGAAATTTTAAAATACATTTCTCTCTTACCTGAGTTACAAAAGATTTTGGAAGTGGTCTCTACATGCTTGTATATATACATGTATGCTTCATATTGTGTTTGTAAAGGCATATACTGATTCAGTAACCGGGGATATAGTGTGAATTGTACCTTTCATTCTTCCCCAGAAATAATAGTCAGGTGTAGTTAGACTGTGTAACCTTGATGGCCAAGCAAGCCATCTTGATATGCACTGTGAAGTATTCCATATTGTTGGTCTGGCAGTTCTCAGGGGGCACTACAGAGCCAGAGTCACAAAATTTTTAACTCATACATTCTGTTGTGATATGACACCTCAGTGTTAGAAAACTCTTTCATAAATTATTGTTTCACTTCATCCTCCTCTGTATTTCACTGCAGTTCAGAACACATATTCCAACGGGAAGTGAACGTTCAAGTTCGATTCCTGTGCTTGCTCACATTCACTGTTGATCTCATTGCTTGATCTAGAGACAGGGATGAGACGGTAGAGGAACCAGGAATGGGGTTGGCAGTGTCACAATGAAGGAAAAGTGTCATGTAGTTCACTTTAAAAATAGTGAATCTCAAATGCAGCTATACAGATGACTTTTGCTTCACTTTCTCTTCCTTTCTTTTGCAAATAATGCAATAAATACATTTCTGAACAGACTGTACCTTCATTAGTGAAAAAGAGAATATCAGGAAGTGGAAAACTTATTTCTTCCTTGACCATGCAGATACCTGTTATATCATATAGTAGCATGAAGACATCAATTATATCCACTACATAATGTTTTCGCCATATGTAATCATTTCTGCATCGCACGTTTGTACAGAATGTGCACAACATTAAACTGTTACATTTTTCTCCTCACAGTGAAATGCTTCTTGGGCCAGTTCCTGACAACTACCAATTTCTACCAAAGCACAAGGCAAACGCTTGGAAGTAGATACACCAAGGAGACACCTGTAGTTTATTTTGTACTCTACAGGTGTCTAAAGTAATACAGGATACTGATACTTTCTGTCAATGATCTGTATCTTCTAGGTGTACATGGGGGGCAAGTGTGGACTGGAGCCACTTGACTCAAAAGGGAACCAGTGGTGGGCAGAGTAATGAATCTTTGAGTTCCAAAAAGGTGTATAATTTCATGACTAGCTGAACAACTAGTATTATTATTATTATTATGGAGGGGGTGGGTTTCCCCATGCACTGCGACCGTTAATTATCTATTGTGCGTCCCCCTTTAATTATTCTACCAGTCGCCATACCCTTCCAGTACTGGTGCTCGCTGGTTCAGCCCCGTTCTGCCAGTGAGGTCAGCCCTCTCTGGCAGTGGTACCCGATACTTCCCCATCAACTGGAGGAATTGGAAACTACTTGGGTGGGAAACTTTTGCCTAATTTTGCTCAGAGGTCTCCTAGAGACATGAGGATCTTTTACATGCTGTAAATCTGAACAACTAGTAACTTTTCTAGAAGGACTCTGCTCCATGTCATTAGTTTAACCAGTAATCTGTATCTGTCGTACAGTTCTTCTTGCTGTGGCTATATTGTATTGTATTGTTATGGCTTCAGAAATCTCCTGGTTTCCAAATGTCCACTGAACCATCATCAGTTCCTAGGAACCAGATCTCATTGATCCTGCCCTCTGATTCCCTAAAAGTTTGTATCAGTGGTTCATTTTGAGCATTATCTTATTTTTGACAAAGTATTGTTATGTAATACATGTTCTTCCCTGCACCACCCCTCTTTTCTGCTTCCCCCTCCTTGTGTACCTCACCTTCTTCCCTTTTCTCTTTCCTTTTCCCTCCTTCCTTGTCCTGGGCTCTTGCACCTGTCATACCAGGGACACTCACATTTCTGCAGCAATCAGACTCGCATCTCTTCTGGTATCTAAATTTAATTTTGTGTGTTTGACTTCGAAACTGTGTTCCGTCAGGTGAGTCACTGTGTCCTGTCCTATACTTCTGGTTTGTATTGTCATTATTATCCTTTTTATTATTATTGTTATTGTATTTGTGTCCTTTGTTTAATAAACCTTTATCTTCCACATTTGGAAAGTTGACCACGTTTTTATGCTAACCTGCTTAGACCCACACTGGCTTCTGGGCAGCCACTTCCTTCCCTTGAGCCTCAGTAGGGCATGTGTCAACTGGTTAAATACTGTGAAGTGAAGTTCAGACTTCCCACATGCGGATGTGTTGGGTCCCACAAGTTAAGTTATTGGAACCTAGTTAGTTCTGCCTATGTCTAGAAACAATAGGCTGGATATATTTGCCAAGATGTCCGTGATATTCCCATATTTACTCCACACATTCCTGCAGCTCTTATCCCTGCCCTGCCAGGGAGTATCTGTATAGACAGACCCCTCTACAAAGTTCTCATCGAGAAACAGATCTTAGCTGGCTACCGAAAGTAGCTGCCTGCAGGGAACCGGGTGGACGTGTCTGTCTGGTCAAGTGGCTGAACCCGCGCCAACCTTGTTTTTCAACCATTTTACCCCTAATTCTAAAGGCTGTTTACATCAGTTACAGTTTACATTAAAGTAGTAAATTTTGTGAAATTAATATAGTGAGTTATGAAGGAAATACTTCATTTGGACCACATCAAAGTGTGGAGATAGGTCATAATGCAAGGTTCAACCTATAGATGACCATGAAAAATAGTAACACATACAACAACCACAATGTGGCCCCATAACACCGAACTGAAAAGTTGCCAGAAAAGCCAACTGACTAGGTAACAATGATTCATATAACAACAACATCCACACCTAATGAGGATCAAGGGCCTAACAGAACGGCAGCCAAATGGTCCCCTTCCTACAATAGGTAAAATGAAATAGAAAACCAAAGGTGAGGACTGCCAGAAATCCACCATCTCCATTGAGATGAAGCAATGTGATCTGGTAACTGCATATAAAAGTGCGCAAATAAGGTTTGGGTGGCCCTCTGGAAGCGAAAGGAGTGGTAGAACTATAAAATCTAAAATTTGTAGTAAAATAATATTAATTTCTACAAAAATTTTAATGTATGTGGTTAGAATCAGCAAAGAAGATTAATGAAAGTAACTGAACTGAAATTTGTGATATACCAACGCTGGCAGCGTCTTTCAGTTGGAGGCTACTCGTCATCCTCAATTCTAAGGGAGTGTTATAGTCTATGACATGGTCATATTTATGAATGGATTTCTCAGTGACATTAAGAAGATAGTAGGCCTTTACAGTCCTTAATGTGTAATGTCTTATGGGCCTTTATCATGCTCTTAGGCAACACCCCCCCCCCATGTACTGTTACAATCGGTAGGACCCCTGCCCCGAGACCTTTGTTGGAAGTCCAGCAGTATAGGAGTGTCCTCAGTCTTACTCTGCCTCCCCATCTGGAGTTAGTCCCATTCCGTGTGGCAGACTGTCACTTCCCAGTTTTCTATCACCAGGTCAAGTTTTGGCACCTCTCCTCAGTAAACAGACCTGAACAATATAGAGGCTGTTTTCTGTGCAGTCTGTACTGCAGCTGTGTATTGAGAGCTGTGAGGCATAAGTTCAGAGTGATTTGGAACAATAAGTGACAGTGAATGAGTGAGTGACAGAGTTATGAGTTTTGAATTCGTTGTAGAAGAACAAAAAGTGGGATGGAACCACATGAACAGAGCAAATTGGAACCAGGAGTATAGAAGAATACAGGAGGTCGACCTGTGAAGATTTAAAGAGCAATTTTAAGATTTTATTTTTATGTAATACGTGGAGCGTGTAATTCGGTGAGACTGTAATAGTTTATGTGTTGAGATCCAGTGCCAGGAGATGACTAGTGAAGACTCGGAATCCTAGTGCAGATGCAACAGGGAGGTGGAAAGTGTGTAAATCAGCGATAGTGCTGTATTGCCTGTATTTAAGTGTGATTAAGAGAAATTGTAACCGAAGTGCTAATAAATCCAATCATCTGAACTAGGACCCATCATTTACGTCTCACATACCATTCTACACGTGACAGTATTTAAACCTATTAAACAGCATGTAAAGTACAATTTAATTCGCTCCTTCCCTCCTGGCAACAAGTGGAAGTTCGGGAAGGACATTTTGAGAGATCTCATGAAGTGCATTAGTATCCAAAAGCATACTTGCCTCACACTGGCCTCTCACTCGTTCAGTAAAGCATATTTGTAAGATTGCTTATATAATTAAAGAGCCATGTTTTTGTTCTGGTATCATTTCTCTCTCTCTCTCGCTGTCTCTTTCTCTCTAGTTTTCATCTTCCTTTGACCTGCTACCTAAATTCCCTCAATATTAAATTCTTTGCTAACACTTTTTCTGAAGATTTTGTAATTTATAAAATATTTATTGGGTACATCCATCAAATTTTCACTAATATGGTGGAATTATAGATTCTGGAACACTTCTGCTAAACTATGATGAAATGAGAGCACTGCTAATATTTATTTCAATCTTCCAAGAATTACAAGCAACTTATACCCTGTAAGAAAAGATTGCATGCTGTGTTAATAATTGTTATGTAAACAATTGTGTTGGTGTATAAGTTACTATAAGTATCATGATTAACACTTTCAGACAGTACTTTGAGTGCAGTGATCTCATGGAATCATCTTCATAGTTATACACGTATGCTGATACATTTTTTTCAGTCAAATGATCTGTCATTGTTGATTGGTATGGGTTACTGTCTTATGGGTTTTGAGACTAGAAAAGATTATCATCAAGGGCATATCCCTCATACCTCTTGCATGAACAGTAGAGTTTATTATCCAGTTGGTGCATACTTTGTTTCGGGCCACATGCAGTCACAAGAGGATGCTACTGTTTTTGTAAATGTTTCCCAGCAGTTGGTATCATAGCGGCGTCGGGTGAGGTAGACTATGTCCATCCGTTGAATGCAAGAGAACATGCACATCTGCAGAACATGATAATATATCTCAGTAGTTCAGAGGCCAGAAAATAATAAGAAAAAAATAGAGAAGTGAACAAGACGAGCTGGAATAAAATAATTGACTGAGATCACACTACAGTGGATCCCCCCATTTAGTGATCCTCAGTTTATGAATTTTCATGATTTAGCATTGAATTTTAGTGATCCAGAGTCAGTATTTTCAGTGTTTAATTGCGTGTATCATTTTCTTCAGTATAGTGTTGAAATCCACTACTCCCTGAAGAAAGCTTAATTGGTGATTTCACTGGTACCTTCTGATTAACTCTTGTATTAACTTTAAAATATTAATTTGTGTGTGTTAAACTTCCTTGAGAGTGAATATCTTGTTTGCATACTTGTAACAGAAATTGTATGAAATTTGTTTTGTTTTGGTTTTTCTTTCCTTCACTCTCTTTTTCTTTTCCCTCTTCCACAAGCGAGAAGTTTATAAGAGGAAGAATCAGTAAATAGGTCACACATGGAAGTAAAATAGATGTAAATGAAGTAATAGGTTTTTGGAGGATATGTCAAGAGATAAATGTTTTTTCCAGGTTCGAATATAACAGGTTTTACATTTTATGCCCATTTGTAACCTATTTACTGACTCTCTCTTGTATTTCAGAAAGTTCTGATCTAAATGAATTGAGCATGTGACTCGAGAAGGAGATGTGGAACCGCAACACAGTGAGTGTACAGCGCACAGAACTTTGCGCAAGAAAGTGGCTCCATAAATGAGGTCTTGAGTTTCAGTGTAGTACATACGAGAATTACGTCTAGTACCAAAGGACAGTGGAATTTATAGATTTATAAGTGAACCAGGAACTGCATAAGATATTAGGTTCTCATGACACAGTGAGTTTTTATTATGGCATTGTATAATGTTTTAACAGTTTCCATGCTGCATCTTCAGGGCAGAATAATTTTTTATGCCTCAGTTTATGGTATTTTTAACCTTATTACAAGGTAGTGTTACAATGCAAAACCCCCTTCTTCAGGGATTGGACAAGTTTTCTGGAAGTGCTGGATATACAAACCTGATTTCCTGCATCAGCTCTCTCGCTCTCTCCATACGTTCTGCATATCTTCTCATGATAATATGGCGGTCTGTACTCATATTCTGTGTCACTTAGTTCCACACGTCTGCTGACTGCTTCACAGAGTGAACGGAATTCCTGCAACAGTTCATGTTTGTGATTAGTTATATGCAACTGTGCTAGAAAGGAAAATTTGTCACCTTTTAGTGTGATACTTTTACAGCTGATAGTACAACCTTTCTTCTACAGTAAATAATAAACCAAAGATTGGAATTTCAACTCATGAAAGAGTTATGAATTTTTTATACCCCCCCTCCCTGTATAAATTGCCCAGTATCACATTCTATGGAAATCTGTCCACTGTTCTTAAGTCGTTTCATTGGTGCAAATGGAGTCATTGAATGTACTTAAGGAAGCATTCTGCATGGTTCCAAACATGTCTAGAAACTGTTTGTACTATACAGGGTGTCCCAGGAGGAATGTGCCAAACTTCGGGAGGGTGTTCCTTATGTTAAAGTATGCCGATATAACCCAAAACACCTATGTCCAAAGTTGAACGGTTACGGAGATAATGGCCCAAGAAAAGTGTGGTCTTCTGGCAGGTCCAAGCACTGTACCTCGCTGTACCTCTCAGCTGAGAGCCCTTATCTATGTTTGTCCTTGAGTGCGATGATACTCCCTAGCCGTGCTTATGTAGTTGGCTCATACCAGAACGCGCAGTCAGCACGTTACGTCATCGCTCGCCAGTCATGTGTTATGTATACTGCTTGGAAACCTAAGGACAATTATGACATGGCGAGCGAGTATTTTGTACTTCAATTTTATGGCTTTCCGTCACTCACAAGTTGGTTTGATGTTACGTACATTATTAACATTACAGAATCCACATATTCCTGCCAGTTTTAATATGTATTTTGTAATCAACAAGTGTGTAACCCCGGTCAAAGTTTGACACTTCTCGGGCCATTATCTCCGTAACCGTTCAACTTTGGACATAGGTGTTTTGGGTTATATCGGCATACTTTAACATAAGGAACACCCTCCCGAAGTTTGGCACATTCCTCCTGGGACACCCTGTATATTTCAGTAGTAGTAAGACATCACAATGTCTGATATATGCATTCTTCAATGATTGTTCTATAGTAGTGCGTGAGATAATGGAACAAACATGTCAACATTTTTTACTTCTCAGATAATATGTCCAAAGTCAGAAATGTCTGAAAAATTTTGTTGCTTTCTTTTGTCTGCACTGAGGACATCCACTTCATATTCTGCATCTATGCCAAAACCACCCAGTGCCACAATTCTATACAACTAGACTGCCCTTGTTGTCCATCCTAGTCATCTAGAGCCTTCTTCCTCTTCTTCCTGCCAGCTCATTTGATGTGCTGCATGTTAACAGTTTTTAATTTATAGATCTGCTTTGCACTGTAGTCTCTCTTGGATTGATTTCAACTTTTTGCATCACTTTTCTTCTTCCTCATGCAGTCCACAGCATCAGACATTCTTAATTTCATAGCTTGAATTCCAAGAAACACTTTTATTTCAATGCCTGCCCACATAATATGTTCATTTTGATTGTATGTGTAGATTAATTGATAGATCTCTTTGAATGTGTTCTGTGGTTTGAATTACAACTGTTGGAATTAAGTAATATTTGATACTATGCTTGAGAACAGGCAATTCTGCACTTTTTATTATTTAAACCAAGAGTCAGAGTCACATGAATACAAACCACACATGTAGGAGTTATATACATGTATTTTAACACAACATCAGGATAAATATGTATAATAACAGTGGGATTCATAAGCTGATGTTTCTGGATGCATTCAGACATACATATCTCAAACAAGATGGAAATTTGAGAGCATATATAGCGAACATGTGTAGTTATTAATTATAACACACAAAAAGAAGGTAAAGCTCTTCCTGTGCATAACTAATTAAGCACTACACCATGAAGATGTATGGTGTAGTGGATATATAGGTCCACATATTCTTGAACTGAACACTAGTTGGAGGTGAGTGGTCAGTTTCACGCCCTGACCTCTTTACCCCTATGGGAAGAGTCTCCAGTACCAATTGGATAGGAGGCCAAGTGGTCTCCAGAGCCGGTCTAGAAGAATTGGAGAGGAGAAAAATCTTGACCCCACTGGGACTCGAACTCCGACCCTTCAGCCATCCAGCCCATAGCCAGTCGCTATACCTACTGAGCTATCTCGGCTTCTATTACTTATAATAGGGATAATCCAAAGTATACAAAACATTCTGAATAAGAGGCATGCATATGGGTCCACTGCTGATGACAGTGGAAATTCTGCAAGTGACAAAAAGGTACTGCAATGAAAACATTTAATGCTCCACGGTTTGAGTTTTTGCCTCATTTAAGGTTTAGTTCCAATGATCCAGAGTCACTAATTTCAGTGCTAAAGTTCCTCTGATTTTCCTCAATTTAGTATTCGGCTCCACTTCTCCCAAAAGAAACCTTAAAGGGGATTTCACTGTATTATAAACATTTATGTATGCAATAAAGTGATTAATCCATTACTAATAACTACTAAAACATGGGAAGACACTGAAAATGGTCTTTTGAAGAACATGACGCCTGTCGCTATAAGTGTAAGTTATAACATTATACATTTTATATAATGAAGGTTGTTGGGCAAATAATTTAATTGTACATAAGCCACTTATGCTAAACTTTCAGTGAACCGTGGACCTCACTGAGAGTAGAATACATCAGCTGAAATAATTTTCATGAAATGGCTACATCTTTTGTAAAGTGAATAAGGATACGGTGACAGAATTACATATTTGATCTCACTGGTCTTTCATATTCCCAGACTTGATTTGTACAGAAGTAACTGAAGTGAACATGTAGAAAGACTGAGTTGTAACAGGAATGTCCACAAAAGTACGGATTGTAAAACAGAGGGCAGAAAGTTAAAATTCTCTCTACAGTTAGCAACAGCTGTAGAAAATGAGAAGTCATAACATCTTTGCTGAACTTTTTGTTCATTTTATGTCATACTTATTGCATTCATGCTGTGACAGTGTGATCAGTGATTTGAATATAGATTTTCACACCAGACTTGCATGTAGACTATTAAGTATTCCAACATTACCACAGTCACCTCAACATTCCTGTCCCCTCTCTGTAAGGAATAGCTTTCACGTGCAGAAGGCAGCTCTGGAACATAGATGGCTCCATGGAATGGTGCATCCCATACAGCATTGCGTTCTTCACGAAATTTAATTCCCTAAAAGGTAAAATCAGATGTCTTAATGATATTTGGAACACAGATGGCTCCATGGAATGGTGCATCCCATACAGCATTGCGTTCTTCACGAAATTTAATTCCCTAAAAGGTAAAATCAGATGTCTTAATGATATTTCAGTTTAAGAACGCTTCTAATTATTATATAAAAATGTAAGACAATATAATAGTTGGATCAAATGTGATGAGAAGTGGAGAAAGGGGGTTATCACATAATGAGGAACTTTGTTTTTCATGCAACAATGCTAGTAAAAGTGAGGTTATGATGAGCTGTGTATATACTATAATTAAAGAAGTGAGAAATATATCAAGAATTGTAGTGGAAAATCAAAACAAAGGGGGGGGGGATATTAAAATACATTTGGAAATAGGTTGAGGTTGTGAAATGGATTTGAATGCTAAGGAATGAACTGAATGAAAGGCTTTATCATTAGTTGTTTTGAATTTTCTGGTATTATTAATAGTCATGTGTAATGGAGAAGTGTAAACTAAAAGAGACTATTGGAACCATAACAGGAGAGCCGTGTATCTCTGTTCACCATGTATACATAGAATGTTACTGGTAGCACAGTTTAAGATGGACAAAACATTAGTCTGATTGTTCATCTTAGTCTACTTCTAAGGTAAAGAGTGTGTACAGGTCCTCATATGCCTTTGTGATATGGTACTTTGGTATAGGTATGTCTTCAATTTTCTCACTTAAAGTCATAATGAGCTGGACATGTGGCCTGAATGAGGGGTACAAAAATGTATGTTCAACATTTATTGGGAAGTGACATTATAATAGATCTTAAATGTGGGAGGTGGATGTAATTTAGGCAGTAGTAGACGTAAGGTTCTACTACTGTATGGTTATTCTTCCTAGGCTGCTTTTGGCTGATATCTGTTGTGTTACTTGGGCTTTGGGGTTTAGCCATGCGATGTGTTGAAGCTGTCAAATCATGGTGCACATGACAGTTGCCATCTTCATGGTGAGCATGAGGTAGGAGGGGAAAGTAGACATATATATGTATGGCTTCACCTCTCTTTCTCAAACCGGTCTGCTTAATAATATGCCTTATATCGTTAGTGGCCTTGTGGTGTGGGGTTATAGCCTACCTGTGTGTAATTGTGCGGAATACGAAGCCCAAACTCTGCACCTGATACAGTGGAGGTGACCCAGAGGATTGTAGCAACTGCTGACACTGCTGTACATATCTGCAAAGAAGTGCAATAGTGCTGTTGTTACTAATCAATATGGATGGCCGCGTCATAGCTCAAGCGGTTAGTCGCTGGCTTCCCACCTCGGCGGCCCGGGTTCGATCCCGGGTCTGGTCAAGTGGGATTTGTGGTGGACAAAGTGGCGCTGGGGCAGATTTTCTCTGAGTACTTCGGTTTCCCCTGCCGATCTCCATTCCACCAATTTCTCCACAATCACCCTCACCTATCATCTGGGGCTGGTACAATAGGCCAGAAATGGCCGCAGTACACATGACTTAGTCCCACCCACTAGGAATAAAAAAATACTAATCAATATTTATGTATTCAACAGACAATAATACAATCAGATCCATATTGTCACATATTTTGGGGGTATGACTATTGGTGGGGTATGGGTTGGATATTGGATGTATTGACTGCTTGTATACACCACTCGGAACTAAACTTTACAGATCACTGACACACAGAGACTAGTGTCCTCAGTCTATTACACTCTCCACAGCCGTTTCATGGCAACGGCTTCTACCAAGGGAGATTCTTCAGCTTCCCACACTGAGGTCCTTTTGTCACAGCCGCTAATGCAGTACTCATGTTAAGACAGCTAACTGGGTCCCAGGCTGGCGGCCATTTCATACCAACCTCCTAGTCTTTGTGTTTGTCTATTCGCCTATTAGAGAGCAACGGCTGTTGTTTACAGAGTCGCCGCTTAGCAACGGGTCTATACGCCACATTGCTCCCTCCTTAAGGCTATTCTTCTCGAATAGTCTACAGGCATACCGCCATTATTTTCTAGAGCTGTGCTTGTGACGTTGGTGCTTGGTCTCACCTTCCTACCCTGCTCGGTTTTTCGTTGTTTACTCTCCAACCGCTCCCTCTTTAAGGCCGCTCGTCCCGAGTGGCTCCCTGATAAGGTGCGAACTGGTCCAGGTGTTTCACCATCATATTCTTCCGGTTGGAACTACCAATGTTAAGAGAATGGTCAATGCTCCCACATCCACGGTTCTTAATGTGTTGTTAGTGGCCTCTTCTTTCGTCTCGGAGGGGGTTGACCTCTCCACAGTTTCCTGTTACTCGTTTTTAGAATCCTGACAGAAAACCTGACTGTTCGCTTCACTATCTCCAGCCCGATAGTTTTCCCCTGAGATCCTGTCGGAAGTTGCCCTGCTTTCCAGGCATAATCGCCGTCTTGAGCCTTCGTTACTTATTCCAGGATGCTTTCCGGCGTCGCCCGACATTTCCCGAACGTCCACACTTTTGAAGTTTCTCTTGCAACAATGTCCCTGGGCCGATTTTTCCGTTGCCTCTATCCGACCTTCCACCCTTTATGATTATCATGGAAAGAGTAATACACCCAAAACAACACAAACTTGCTACCATTAATTAACAGGAGATATAAAAATCAAAATGGAGCACCTTCATATATTATGGTCCCAACCAAGAGAAAGGTACAATAGTAAATAGTGTCCGTTATAGTGAAATGCTCTGGAACCAGCTGAAAACAACTATTGGAACCAAACGCCGAGGACTACTATCGAAAGTTATCGCAGTGTTGCACGATAATGCCCATTCGCACACTGCCACCCGCACCGTTGAAAGCCTCCCGCAACTGAAATTGGAGGTACTGTAGTCATGATCTGGCTCCCTACTGTCACCAGTCTGGCCCATTCTAGACTCCTTGAGAGGCCTCCATTTTGCCACTGACTGCGAAACAAAAGAAGCGGTGCATGCGTGACGTCACTCAGCTAGAAGCATTCTTTTGCCTAATGGCATACAGAAATTTCTCGGCCGCTGGACTAAATGTGCTGGAAAGGTTGGCAACTGTGTAGAAAAACGATCGTATTCTACATATTCACTGTAACTGTATTATTTAATTAAAAAGCAATCGCGGTTAATTTGATTTGTTTCATTCTGGTCCGTCACACTAACAATATCATGAGTAGTTCAACAGTTCCGTCCAGTGTGACTGGTGAAGATTTTTCTTATTTCAGTTATTTATGTCCTTACACGTTTCGGCCTTCAGAGACCAACATCAGAGGGACACCTTTACATCAGTACAGTTGGAGGCTACTGTTCAGAACATATATTGTAACAGTAGCCTCCAACTCTATTGTTGTAAAGGTGTCCCTCTGGTGATGGTCTCTGAAGGCCGAAACATGTAAGAACATAAATAACTGAAATAAGAAACATCTTCACCAGTCACACTGGACGGAACTGTTTAACTTTTCATGGTAATCGCGGTTACTTTCTGATTCACCCTCATGTATTCAATTCCGTTTAATTTCCCACTGTTGAGTAGGGAAATTCATGTGCGTAAATTTACGCCTTCGTAGCTCTGTAATGTTTGAGAATCGGGGGTGTTTATACAATATTTCGTTTCAAAATTGCTTAGTTAAGAGACTCCTGCAGTTTGGGCTGTTAAATATTGAATGGCGTCATCTTTATGTTATGTTATAAATAAAACCTACTTATATTACAGAAGCAGTTACTGATTAAGTACATAACTATAATTTATTTTCTGCGATAAAAGGAAAGCAAATAAACATGAATAGCATATCCTGTTAGCTTGCAAGTATAAATGCATTGCACAAAATTTAATCACACAACACAGAGGGATGTTGTGTTTCCTAACAGTTTTCGGTTTTAGCGGGTTGTGTATCCTATTTACAAACTTAGCAGATGATAACCAATTTCTGTAAAGAGATCCGATGTCCCCTGTAGTTTGTTTTAGAGCTCCTTGAACCTGAGGATCTAGCGATAGGAAATGTTGAGACTCTGGTCTGCTATGTCACTTCGTGAGCGCGGCATCGCGATATTTTAATTTAATTTAGAATAAAAAACCGAAATTAATGGTCATGGGGATTCGTTGCGCTGACCACGCGACACCCTCTATCCGCTAAAGTTGGCACTAGCTTCGCCGACAGGCGGCTGCCGCTCAGTCGGTAAAGTTCGCTTGCGGACTAAAATCCACGGAGTATATAGTATAAAGGCATAGCGATACAGAGGTGCATCGAGAGTAATGTCTCGTTTAGCAAAACGTATGTGCAGTAATTGAGGAAGTCTGGGTGACTGGCAAAGATGTGTAATTAGGTCAGCCTTTGCTAAAGAAGAGAAATAATGCTGAATCGGTAGATAAATAATTTGCAATGGCCGGAAAGTTACTCATTCGGTATCTTTGGTTATATCAGTTAGAAGGACCTTTCGGGAATACCGGTCGAGCAGATTAGATTGGATGGACCAGGCATGGCAAAGTCTACCTATTGGCTGGAGCCTACTTCTTCTCTGTTCGTTCTTATCTCTGGTGAGTATGCTGATCAGTGTCAGCCATTAAGAGACTGAGATTAGATTGTCGTTTAAGTGACTGGTATGAGATTAGATTTTGTTTTAAGTGAAAACAAAGTGAGTGCCAGCTCAAGATATTAAGCCGAAACCCGTTACATAATTTCGGATGTCTTGTGTCACACTGCAGCTTCTATGTAGTATAATATAAGAGCATATCTTGTATACAGGTTAAGTTAGTGACCAAAGGGTGGTGCAGTAGAGTGTGATAATCCTATTTTAAATCCCATGCTCCCGAACTTTGACCCTGTGTACAAGAAGGGCAGAATGAGTCGCTGGACAAAGTCAGAAATTTTTTTCTGCCCCTGTCCAAGGCGATACCACATGGTGATGCCAAATATAGGACAGAGAAACCAAACTTGTAACCGTTATTAACTTCAAGACACACGAAGAAATAAGTTTTATTAAACATATGCTATATCATCATCATATAAGAAAAAGAGCGGATTACAATCTC